TGTGCGTTTGATGGCTGATCGAAGTCTTTGAGTTGTCAACTGCATAATCTGGTCGCCCTTGAATGGTAGATTAATAAAGATGGCTTTCTTTGGTACAGAAGCTGTCTTTTCGAGATGTGGTTTTTCTTTGCTGTGACAAGTGATAAAGCTCTCCGGATAACCATTAGCTAATAAAACTGAATGTACATGTCGAAGCTCATCCATCAGTGTGTCACTCGTGCATATTTTTCGGGCCCTTGAGAACAAACATTTCACTAGGGAACGTTTATACTGGATAGGAACAAAACTGGTAAAATGAAGATATTGTCCAGTCCATGTTTGTTTACGAAAAATAGAGCGCTGAATCGTTCCATCATTTCTCCTAATCATAGTAATATCCAGGAAACCGAGTTTGTTATTCGATTCTAGTTCGGAAGTCACTCGAATATTTGGATGAATATGATTAAATAGAGTAATGAAGTTTTCAATAGATTTACTATTATTACCAATAATAAGAGTATCATCTACATAACGTTTATACAGCATAAATCCTCCAAGCATACCTTGCATTTGTTTCTCTAATTTCGACATAAATATATCTGCTAACAGGGGCCCCAGAGGGCTCCCCATCGCAACACCATCGATTTGTTTATATGCCTTTTCTTGGAATGTGAATCTAATATTTTCTGTACACATTAAGATTATGTCTTTGATGTCTTTGATGCCGTTGCTTGTGATGTAATCGCAAATAAAATCAACAGTTTCATGAAGGGGAACATTGGTGAATAAAGATTCTATGTCAATTGAACACATAACCTTTTCCTTAATGTTCAAGGTGTCCAGCATTTCTCTAAGACCTAACTAAAGGTCAACCAACAGGAACACAAGCTTACAAGAATTTAGAAAAACATTCATCTATAACTGCATATGCATAGGACAAAAACCACAATATCGACTGGAACAATGTTTGTATGAACAAATGGAAAGAGAGACTAATAACAGTGTCTGTATTAATTAAGGTAACATGTATCCTGTGTGAAACAAGGGTGAATCAGCAACAAAATTGTCAACAACGTGAATATACAAAAATGAATGAACAAAATTCCGTAGCTGTCGAGTCATCTGACAACTCCAGTAGGTCGAATAAAGCAGCTCAATATTCAGAAAGAAGACAAAGTAATAAGTTTGACGGGGTTGTTCAACTAAACTCTAATCCTAAACACCATAATTTTGAAAATACGTCTAATCACAAAATTCTAGATACTAGCAGTTTGAACAGACATGAAGATGGGATGTTAGCTGATGCATAGGAAATCCTGATTAATAAATAAGAATGGATATGTATCACTAACTAATAATACTTGGTCAAAGTTTCCCGACTGTCTATATCTACTTATGGAGACGTTAAGACATTGTTTTACAACTGTTTATCCGCACACACAAACACACACACATACACACTGTGTTTAAAGTGTTTAACAAAGGTAGATCAATATTTGTAAGACTGAGGTCAAATTTTGATCACAACTCGTACAATTTTGTTTATTATACTTGCTGTTACTTGTTTTATGAATCATGACTGGACAAAGTTTTTTTTGAAATCAAGAAACGTTCCTTTTATATATAAACCTGTTTTGTTAATTTCGATTAATTTCCCTGAAGAAGTTCGGACCAGATTTCCGAACGAAACGTTGGAATTACTCATTTCAATATCGCTGAGATTTTACAAATATAATTTTTTACAAATGTCTACTTCTCACTCGGCGCCCAAATATTTTAGAACTATTCTGTCAAATCATGACTTCAGTTCATTTGAAAAATAATGAACTATACATATATGAGTGTAAATCATAAATGTGTGAATTAAAGAACAAAATAATTCCAGTAGTCGGTACGATGATCACGGGCAGTAATTTTTCTCGAAATATTACGAATATCAAAATTTATCATTGTGTCTAAACGACTGAAATATAATTATAATTTATTTGGTCTATTGATATCAGTTAGAGAACCATTGAAAACCAGGGATAGCTGTTTCATCCTAGTTTGGGAATTATCGGCAGTACTCACCCACTGGGGTTCAAACCCAAGACCTTGCGGTTACAAGCCAAGCTCATACAACATTCATCTACCGAGACCTGATTCAATGACTGATGAATTCTAACCTCTACCAATACACGATTCAGCGTGAAGTTTCTTTGTTTTTCAATCTATATGTTTATAATTATATATTAATTCTACCAGCGACAACTCCACTTGATTTACCTGTTAATGAGTATTATTTTGATGAACACTATTCACTTAATGATAACGTTAACAGATGATCGATCACTTATAAATCACTTGTGGATCATATAATTTGTTGAAAATGATATTTATTTGTTTTCACAGTGTTCATTTATTTGTATGTATGTAACCACAGAACGGAGTTGTATAAATAAATAAGTAGATGACAATGTTTGTAGAGTATTCAGCTGAAGAGTTCTTCTACCAAATTCAGTAAATACTTCTGTTTACAATATTTAATTGATGGATGGTGACTAGCATTATAATCCAGGACTCGTCAGCTGGATGCACCTGCATTTCTCAGTGAGTAATGATGTTCCCACCGAGGCCCGAATCCAGTGCCCATAGTTTCAAGCCCCAAAGCACTATCCACTAGACCACTTTGGCCACTAGAGCCACTTCTGGTGCAATTAGTCATATTAATTTATTTGAATTTGAGATTTTCTCGTCGATTGATCTGACCGAAGTGCTCGGTCTCAGGTTGACATGTCGACTTCTTGTGCGGATGCTTCGGCGATATTTGGGCATGTAATTAGAAGTTAATTGGTGGATGGTGACTAGCAGCGGAATCCAGGATGCTCATTTAGTCCTGTTTGGGACTCGTCATCAGTGAGTATCTGCATCTACACAAAAATCGACATATCAACCTGAGACCGAGACCTTCGGTCCAGTCAATCGGCGGGAAAATCCAAAACTGAATTAAATAATTAATATGACCTATTTTACAAGAGGTGACTGTCGTAGCCCAGGTGGTCTACTGAATAATGCTTTGGTGTTTGAAACTATGGTCACTGGGTTCGACCCTCAGAGAGAGTATTATCACTGACTGCGGAATAGAGGCACATGCAGATGACCAGTCCCAAATAGTATACATGCGCCTCCTGGATTCCACTGCTAGTCAGCATCCAGCAGTTAACTTCTAATGAAGTAATATTCTGGAGTTATAAAAAATTACTGCAAGTTGAATAGGTGTATAAAATCGACAGCATAGTTATGTAAAGGATGGATAATTTAGTCGTACAGAGGTCAAGAATAGTCCGCTCAAGAATATACGAATAAAAACAAATAAATAAATAAACTGCCCACCTTGTCAATCAAACAAAATAGATTGAAAATAACACAAATGTTTCTCTAACTGACATCAGCTCATGATGAAATCCTCCAACCAACCAGAAAAAATCCCTACAAAACCAATACCTGAGAATTAATCTGATGCTCGTTAGCGACTGGCTCTATTCAGACAGTTGTTAACCTGGAGTTCTAGTGGGAAGCACCGATCAGTAGGGTACAGCAGGTTAAAGGTGAGGCGGTAACTCATCGAGGAAGACATCGAGGAAGTGGTTGTGCTGTGTCATGAATTGGCGAGAGTTAGAATTCATGGTCTGGCCATTGGATCGCGTCCTAGTGGCTTAATGGTCTACGTGCTTCGCTAGCCTTGTAACCAGAAAGTCCTGGGCTCTAACCCCTGTAGTAGATGCGTTCTTCTGAAGATTCCCAAAATAGGACAAAACGGCCGTCCAGTCTTCCGGTGCTGGTTTTCAATGGTTCTCTTACTGATGTCAATCCCTACGGACTAATTCTTGAAAATAAAGCATATTCACCATTGCTTCTTTCTAAATAGATCCTTATGGTAGAAACTCGACGATTGAGTTTCTTGTTGTTATTTCATTCCACTCTGAGCCGAACTCATTTCAATCATCTGCTGTTTCACATACTGTTGGCCAAATAATCAGTGGGACCTGTATTTTGCACAATAAGTATGATATCCGTACTATTTTCTGCTGATTTAATCTAGTCGAATATGCCTACAACATTTGTCAAATGGAACGCGAAAATCAGTTCAAAATCTGAGAAACACTTTCCAGACTTTAGTGACAGACATCATCAAGTAAATCACATCTTACCGTTGTATTTAACAACTGCTATCTCATTCGAAAAATATTATGTTATCATAGCAACTTGGTCAATGAAAATTGCAAGTTAAGATCACAAACCGACATCAGTTAAACAACCACTGAGAACCAGAGATTATTTGACACTTGTTTTGTCCCAGTCATATGATACCCGTCGGATGAATGCGATGCCGACCCCACCGAGGATATAACCTAAGGCTTTCAGATTACGACGTTAACCTGTTAACCAATCATTCACTGAGACACAATCTAATACCCAATCAATTCTAGCTGATAGGTCATGGATGAATAATACTCATCTGTTCCAAACTAGGATGACACAGCTATGCAGTACTGCTTGGTTTTCACTGTTCCTTTAACTGATGTCACTTGATTTTTAACAAATCCTTACAATCCCTAGAACTTGAATAAAGAATACTGAACATGATGCATAAGGACAAGCTTTCCATCATCTTAGTTAACTTGGGATTATAAGGGTAAATGCAGAAATGTAGTGAATATTCTTAGGTATTTATTGATTTGATACTCTAATCGTTTTCTAATTCAAATATTTTTTTATTCGGTTACAGTTCGAAAGAAACTTTAATCTGGCATTTCTTAAAGTTCTGCAGGCTTTTGTTCATCTTTTTCTGTGCATATTCCTTTATTGATTTATATATGCATGTTTTCTAAAAACTTCTGTGTTATGGTTAACGGGATAAATAGCTGTCTAGAGATGTGGTATATTAGCGCTGATGCTTTACTTTGAACAAGTAAGCCTTGGAAATTTTTGAATTCTTCCAAACCTGAATAGCACCATAAGCCTTTGTATATATATAAAGGATGGCTGGTATGTAGCTAAATGCAACTGAATAGTTGAGTCACTAGTTGAGGCGTATCAAGCTGATCCTCTTCTCTATAATACAGAAATATTGAGTTAAACAGAGGCTAGTGAATACAAGCGGAAGACGGGACACATACCTACTCACCCGTCATTCATAATCGTTGAATCGAACGACTAGGGGTGAGGATTATAAGCTTAAACACTCGACTTACGGATAATGGATCCACAGTTTGAATCTCCCCCTATTCATTACAGTATGGGCAGGTGAATAGTCCTACCGGTCCTTACACAACATGTGTAGCTCTTAGCCTATTCTGGACTTTTTTCCTGTCAGTAAGTTATGAAAATAATCTAACGTGTCTTGTGAATAATGTCACGACTTTTTACACACAGTGCTCTAAACTACTTATACTATTCAACATCATGCTTCATTTAGTTTTTTAAATGAATTCCTCTTGACTTATATATGCATTTTTCTCTTTTACAGAAAGTTTAATCGTCCGAGCATCACTCTGTTCCAATTGGAAATTATTTAGAACTGTTCAATCAAGACCGACTGCACGAATATCTTTAAATTCAGCAGAATTTATATTAGGTGAGAAATTGAATTTTATCATTAAAGAAGATATGAGTCGTGTATGCATAGTATTGAATGTTATAGCTCGATCTGGTAGTAAACTGCATGAAGGTACTACTCTTATTGGTCGTTGTGTAACTGGTCCACCGGATTTAGCATGTGGTGATGGTTTATCGCATTGGACATCGACTTGTACTAGACAAGGAATGATACGACGTACACATATTCTCACATAAATATGGATTATACAATCTGTTTGTTTGTTCTTATACACTACGCGAATTTGTACATTCCACTTTTGGTTGTTTCACGTTGTTGTTATTGTTGTGTATCCCTAAAATGGAAATATTTAAATTGAACATGTTGAACAATGATAGGATGTGTACTGTATTTGTTATCCAATATATATAATAAAAGTGTGTTCAAAAAAAGAATTTTTGTTTTCGTGTTGACTGTAATTGACAATTATTACTCAAATAACTTGTTAGAAAGAGATCTAGTACTACTGATAATGATAACTTCATGAAGCTGATTTTTCATACATTTATTCCACTTAATGAATTGGAACAAAGCAAGAACTAGAGTTTTAAATAAGTGGTACCATTAGTGTTTATTTCGTTGCCTTCTCGTCAGCTGCTTACAGGCTAAAGACATTATTAAATATATCTACAAAAACAATTTTGACATACTTGCACAGAGTTCATTTTAAACAAAAACCAATCGATCAATATATATATATATAATATTAAACACTTCCGAACAATAAAATCATACACAGTGGAAACTATTCAGCATTTCTCATTCGGATGAAAGAGAGGTGAAAGTACCCAGTTTCCAGGGCAAAGAAAAACTAATAACTGCTTCTTTCTGGACGCATAAATCAGGTTTCAGGTGCTTGATGGAAATGACTTCAGCAAACTTGAGGAGAATTGAGCTCTTTTGCCTATTGATAATTTTGAACGACTTTTCGACGTCCACCTCATGACCCGTGTCATGTTAACTCCAACTGTATATACGAATGTACATGTATCTGCGGGAGCAGTTACATTGGAAGGACAGAAAGAAGGGTATATATACGATTTTATGAACATGTACCAAAAAGCTTATGTCTAAAGGGAACAAATGCTCTAAACAGTGCCATCGCCAGGCATCTCCTCGACACGGATCATGAGGTGGACGTCGAAAAGTCGTTCAAAATTATCAATAGGCAAAAGAGCTCAATTCTCCTCAAGTTTGCTGAAGTCATTTCCATCAAGCACCTGAAACCTGATTTATGCGTCCAGAAAGAAGCAGTTATTAGTTTTTCTTTGCCCTGGAACTGGTACTTTCACCTCTCTTTCATCCGAATGAGAAATGCTGAATAGTTTCCACTGTGTATGATTATTATTGTTCGGAAGTGTTAAATATATATATATATATATTGATCGATTGGTTTTTGTTTAAAATGAACTCTGTGCAAGTATGTCAAAATTGTTTTTGTAGATATATTTAATAATGTCTTTAGCCTGTAAGCAGCTGACGAGAAGGCGACGAAATAAACACTAATGGTACCACTTGATTCTGCAAAAACTGTAGTTTTTGCTTTGTTCAAATCTGATTTTTATTGATTACTAAACAAGGAGTATTCATATCGATAACCAACCCTTCATCAGGTTCTACAGTTATATATCCATGATAATGAATGAATACTTGATACTGACAACGTCAATGGTTTTAAAAAAAACAGTGACATCGAATCACTGACATCAGAATTCCTAAAGTTATTTGCAAACAGATTGTTAATAGATAATTATCCAATATGTATGTGTGTTTGCGGTAACACTAAACTGAACACCAATATTCCAAGGCAAATGATTATAAACAACAACGAAAACAGAGTAATGAATTTCTCATAAGTCATGTTCATAATATATTCATATTATATTGATTATAAAATTCATATAGATGAATGATAGTCTCAGTATCTGACGGGGAGAGGAATATTAGGTTAAAAGCTTAGGTGCATTGTTCGTGTGTGTACTAGTGTGTAGGTTAATGACTAAGCTTAAATAAGAAAACAAAAGGTTAGTTTATGCGAGTGTGATAAAAAGGAATAAGGGAATTTATATATAAGGGATGCAGGGCCATACATAAAAGATGGATTTAATACAGTATTTATGATTTGGATATTCCACAACCAGTCAGGGTGGCAATAGTGGCTGGCTGAACCTGTTTCTTTTGCAAACAGAGCACCGGTAATTTTAGACGGATAGCAATAGCCTCTGCTGTTTGGAGTATTCGACAGGTGGATGTTTTTGGTAATTTATTTGGTACACGGTAGATGATGGAGAAGGAATCTACAACCAGTTGGTATAATATCGAACTGTTGATAATTTTCACCATACCTTTATTTAACCACAGAGGTAGATGTTCCCGAGTCAACACATAAAATCAATTTCCTAGAACAGTAGTCCTTATAACTCGCTCCACTACAAACCTAGTTGTATTGGTAGATACAAGAAGAGGTAGCTAGTCTACATACTTCCTCTTTCTTTAAGTGAGAAATCACAACCGATCGTGTAGAAAATATAACTTGTGATTTACCACCATTCAAAGTTCTTTGAATAGATTTTCTTAACATGTTGGTGATTATTTCCCTTGATACGTCATCTTTGAATTTCAGCTGTGTATACAAAAGCTTCTTATTTACAGATAGAGAACAGTTCTTTCCTACTTTCTTGGTCATGTGTTTCTTGATAAATTTGTCAGGATAGCTATTTTCAATCAAGGTGTCATTTATAATCCTAAGTTCATCTGCAATTATGTCTTCTGAATACATACCTTAGACCCTGTAGCTGAGGGTCCTTATTAAATCCCTTTTGTATTGTAGAGGAATGAAGTTATAAAAATGTGTATTTTGTTCTGTCCATGTAATTTTCTCATGGAAACTTACTTTAACACCACCATCTGGTTTTTTATGAGACAGTTTGCCAGGATGGTAATCCTTTTTTGGAATTCTTCTTCACATGTGAACTTGACGACGGCAGAGTAAGCAGGGCGTTTTAACCCTTTTTTTTGAGTCTTTGTTTTTATTTCCTCTAATCTGAAAATTGAACTCAGGATATGTGGTTGAGTGATTCACAGCTTTTTATACATATAACTTCACTTCATAGCTGCACAGTTTTATTCAGGGAATTTATACATATAATGTTAATTTAATTTCACCAGTGATCAACATTAATTAGACGGTTTTATTGAAGACTATGGATCACTAGCCAGCTTCTGAAGAGTCCTCAAACAAGACGAAACTGTTTTCTGATGCTTCCTGGTTGTTAGTAATTACTTCAGCTGATATTGGTTCACAGTGAAATCTAAAAATTGGTAACTAAAAGTTAAAAAAAAGTAAAAAGGTAATGCATAGAGTATATTACTCAAGAATTCTTGCGGATAAAGTTGACACTAAGGTAAAGGTTGTAAAAGAGGCTAGGTAAAACGTTTTTGAACACCAGGTTCAGGCTTTACCTTATGGATTGTTAAAACTTCAGTTGTATACTGAAGTTGTGGCAACATCTTTTCGAATGACCTGATCTTACTTTATATATGACTCTAAATGTAGTATGGGTTGATGCTAAATGATACGAGGTAATAATGCTCTCCAGAATCTTTATGTTTTAAGTTTTTAAACTCATTTTCAATCGTTTGTCCTCTTGTTTCCTGTCAGGTATTTCTAAATGATTATTCATCACTTTATACATTGGTTACCAACTGTGTCGATTGCGTAAGACTAATAAATTTGAATAAAGCAAGGATGACTAATGTACCAGGATATTCTGAGCTCGTGTTTTTATTTTTAATAGTTTCATGGATTCTCTTCAACTGGTTACAGCCTGAACAATATCAAAATTATAAATTAAATTAAAGATGTGAATATACTTTTTTTTTACTATGATAACGAGTAAGTGATTGGAACTGAGAGTAACACTGATGAGGAATGATGTAATCAGTTATTGAATAATTAAGAGTGAAAGGGATCTACGTGTTATGAAAGAATTGCATGACTAAGCTTGGAAACAAAAGGTCAGGGTTCAACAGATGTTTTGTGGGTAGAAAGAAAGTTTAACTAGAAACAGTATAAACGGTAATGGGTTACGTAACCACGAAAAAACACGTTTTTATAAAATAGACAAAAAAGGCGATGTAGGATGAGTCATGCTTAGACGAAAAATTCAAGTTTTCTAAACAGAACAGAAGATGACTCAGTGAAATTTGTGCGGTTTTTTTATCACCAAGGCAGTGTAAGATTCACGACTGTCTTTTTCTGCGTACGTAAGATTATTCAATATTTTTTTACACTTTTATTTCGCATACACTTGAATTTATTTGTTACTAAATAGCATATAACCTTTGACCTTTGTTGTTAATTAACACTGTATATGTGACCCCCCTAAGTAATTTCATATATTTATTCCCCTGTATGAATTTGAATAAAACAAGAGCAATAGTTTATGCAGAATAATTTGGTAGCATCATTTATTTCGTCTGCTCCTCATCAGCTGCGTACAGCCGCAGCTGATATCATATATCGCCTCACTTTTTCATCCTTGTGGTTGATATCTCCATTATTATTATTATTATGACTAACTGCACAATTTATATGCACAATCTCAATATGTTTATGTGGAGAGAATGTTTCAACATATTTGCAATTTTACATAATGTCAGTTAAGAGAAGGTCCCAAACTTAATGAGCAGTGCTCAAATAACTATACTCATACAGTTTATATCCATACAGTTCAAGTTCAAACAAAAGTAAATGTCTGCATGCAATGGTAGACGAGAGATGCATAATATGATGAGTAACTGATAAATTGGGTAGCACTGTGTTGAGTTCAACTCAAATCATAGGAATAAAAAACAAGCAAAATTGTATTAAATCAAAGGGGGATGGAGTGAGGTTAAAGCCACAGATTGCGTAATCAAATGAGGGATAGAATAAAGACATCCAGTTACCAGGCAGGGCAATGAACGACTGATAACTGCTTCTTTCTGAGCGCATAAATCGGGTTTCAGGCGTTTTATAGAGATTGTTTAGGTGAACTTGAGGACAAATGGGTTCTTTTTTCCATTGATAAAGGATGTTTTGATTTCCGCCCTATGACCAACATCAAGATGCCTGGTATCGCACTACTGGAAGCACTCGTTCCCTTAAGATATCGGCTTTTTGGTACATGTTCAGAAAATAATTTTATAGTTACGAGAAGAGATCTCGCTGCTGATTTATGTGATATCTATTACATAACATGAACATTTTTCACACCTTGAGGAATTAAAGCTGATCAACTCATCTCCGACGATTCGGTTACGTTCCACTGATAACCACTAATAGTACATTATTTTATCTAGGGGGTTTACACTGTCATTCTGAGAAAACTGCTATACTTTCTGCACTATGTATATATGTATGCATGCGTTGTGTATTATAGCTTATTAAGCAATCTGAATTTTAAGACTATGAATAACAATTTAATTTATCCCGTTGCATTGAATATTGGGCTTCAGACTTGAGTTTCAAAGTTTCAGCAGAGGTAATGTTTACGAGATGGGCTTGATAGCCTCACGCTCAACCCTCTCCCCTTACCGAGATTGCTACCGGCTCAGCAAGGTCAAGGAATCGAACTGTTCTACCACTGAATTACTGACGCCACGATTATGAGAGGTGAAGAAAACTTCTCAGTCATTACTTGAAAATCAAATAAGCTGGAAATATCCACTATTATTATTGTTGTTCCCTTGGGCTCGTAGTGGAATATAGGGCTTCAACTGCATCTCTCCACTTGCTTCTGTCTTCTGCTTTGCTTTTCACCTGCATCCATGTTAGTCCATACTCTTTCAACTCCTCTTCACACAATCTCCTCCATGTCAACCTTGGACGTCCAACTCGCCGCTTCTCTTTCGGCCTGGTTTCACTCGAGCAATGGCCTGACGCGCGATGTCACCCAGCAGCCTCCTCAGCGAGTCTCCAATCCATCTCCACTCTTCTTCTGCATATTTGTTGGACGATTGGTTCTTGTTTTGTTTGTTCCCATAGTTTCTTGTTGGTGATTCTTTCCGGCCCGGTCAGCTGATCTTCAGTATAGGGACAGTACAGACAGTTGCTGATAAAGGTAAGGTTTGCAACAGGCTGTTGGAAATATTCTTTGTGACCCGCCAAGTTTCTGATCCGTATAGAAGAACTGACTGACTTGACGTTTGTATTGAAAATCCGAATTTTGTTGTTGAAGCTGAGTGACGAAGATTTACAGATTGGTTTCAGGTTGATGAATGTGTTTCTCGCCTTCCCGATTCGCTCGATTTGACATCCTCGTCTGTTCCGACTTCCTGTAGTTGAGACAATGCTCCCTAGATAAGTGAATGAAGTGACCTCTTTCAAATCCCTCCCGTTGATGGTGATTGGTGCTTGATGTTGCTGCTGTTGTTTTTGCTGTTGATTGGATGTTTATTTTCATAACCTTCGTCTTGTCTATGTTCACCTGGAGTCCTGTCTCCGCCGGCTGCTTCTTCGACCAGTTTATCGGCTTTCGCTTGTAAGTCTTCGAAATATCCATTTAGACAAAAAAAGAATAAAAAAACGCAAAGAAAAGACTCCTTACGATGACTTTATTCATCAGTGTTTATCTCGTTCACATTATAAAGATACTTTGAAATGGCAAAGGTTAATAAAAACAAAACAAGATGAAAATAGTGATCAAGTGAGTTTGAAGTTATGTCCAGGATAGAAGGGGAGGTTGAACAAGTTTCTTCTGTGTGCATAAATCCACACTTCGTGTATGCACAATAGAAGCAGGGACAATGTAATATAATATTCTGGTGTGTGTATGCATGTGCTTCTTTTGACTTTGTGAATAATTTTGAAAGTTAACCTTAGAGCCTGAGTGATCAGTGTTGAAATGCACTCACTTATAATCCTCTGTATTAACTTATTATGGCCTCGTTGTAGCTATACAAGACAATGTATTTTTAGCCACATATAAAAATGGTCAGATGGGATAGTTTATTCTTCAAGTCACTAGAGAACATTGGACGACTAAAGAATGACAATCCTAATGCAGATTCGCCGAATGTAATTTTCAGAGCTTTTAATACTCTCTTCTTTAGGTTGTATTCACGATAGTCTCCTGTGAACGCTACGTTTATGTATAACGTCTGTTTATGGAATCACCCTCGCCACGTTTGAATCTCATGTATTTCTCGATAACGCATAGGAAATACTCATCTTAAACTGGAGTAATCTCTTCGTCTAACAACTCCGGACTGCAGATTCCTCAGATCCGAGGCACAAGAGATATTATCAGGATTTTCTCTGTTTTGTAAGAACACAGCTGGAAAAGTTCATCGCTACAAGGGCTGAAGTGTTACTCACTAGACCACTGGGTCACAACTACCACCTTTCGTGAAGCAGGTATCATTTACAATTATTTGTTCATATTAGTGATCACCTCTTTGTATATCTGAATCGGAGTAAACGGATTTATCTTTGTCTATGGGCTCCTTGAACAGATGTCTTCATATTAGCTAGATTAATATTTCGGAATTTCCTGTTTGGTCCTGTGGAAGAGCAGTTGCCGCTTTCGGGTTTTAAACGGTTGGTACAGGATTCGAGTTTCAGTGGAAATATCATTATTCAATGGGAAGCAGGTACATCGAGATAACACGTCTCAAATAGGAAGAAATTCTCTAAATAGGTGACTTCGAGTTAGTAATTCTGGTAATATCGAGGCATCAATTCGTTCAAGAAGTCTGTATACCAAACTGGGGTTGATTGATTCAGCCTCTACAGTGGTTTTTGCGGTGGAAGAATGATTTCCAGGTGAATAAAAGACTCAATGTCAAGAGCTATTTCGAATCTTTTAAGTTGTGACCATCTGAAGAGGGAAACCCCATTTGTGTGTTCTACAAGAGACTGCTACTAACTTATTACTAACTTGATAATCACTAGTCCTTTTACCATTATTTCATTTTTCATAAGATACTTCGTCAACTGCATTCATCCGTTTTCTTACCCTTTGCTATCATTGAACTCTTTCATTATCGGCTAAATAACACCCTGCATGTTACTGTGTAATCGTCTCTATTTATGTGTAATCTGTCCTTAATTTCAAGAAAATTCCTTTCTGTACAACATTTGGCATACCTTCTACACTTCGTCTTGACTTCTGGGATGTTACTCTACTATTACAAAATGAACTGGGTTATTCAGTTAAAGTATGTGTTAATCCCTTTCTAATCTGTTCTTCGTTATTCTTTTGTGTTTAAATTTATACTACTTACCACGAGTAAGTAGTATGAGTCATATTACTTAATAACCATAATGTACAGTGGTCATTTTCTGCATATTATTTACTGCATATGTCTCATTTATGTCTTTTAATGTTGAACATTGTTTATTTGTGTCACTTTGTTCTGTACCAGACACTCGTGTGCTGTTCAAATTGACAAGTGGATGGCCTTTGACACAGCATAGCTGTTTTTGCTATGGACGCGCACTGAATGTGATTTTGACGATATTCAGCTGTAGGCACTGAACATTTTGAGGTTTTTATATTATATTTCATTATTTTATGTTGAATATAATACTGTATTCTAGGCTAATCCTCTATTTTTGGATCTTACACGTCATTCTACGTGTGGTTTAACTCATCGTTTGGATTATCGTATCAGACTTCTCAAGAGGAATTCACAGTATGTTTAAATTATTTCAGATTAATTGTTTATATATTTTATTATTCAGGTTGTCTACAGCTGATGAAAATCTGACGGGATAAAATGAAATCGCCTCATCATGCAAAATTTGTTTTTAGTTGATTATTCAAGTATGTTATGTGCATTTAGGCGTAAAATCTTGTATGGTTAGACAAACAAGTAGTGAATGGATAAAGTTCTTGATAAGTAGGTTGTGGGTTCGCTAATTTTTTTATTGCTGACCAATGTTTTGATTGTCCGCCAACTTTTATAGCAGCTAAATAACTAAGTAACATACAGTGAACAAAGTTCCACGACCATAATTTATCGAGAAAACACACTTTTAAGATATGTATGCGTTTACAGATAGATAGGAAGCTATACTTAAAAAAGGCTGATAATAAGTAAAAATAATATGAAAGAGAGTATTTAAGTGGTTAAATCAACTGAATGTCTACCAGTTTAAATATTACAGTAAGTTTTAGCTGATTTGTTTCAGGTCATCTTAGTTTGTTCTCTTATCAGGAAGTCACAAAAGGTAAATTCGCTCATTGAAAGAAAACTTTTCGATGAAGCTCCAAAACTTTATATCTGGAACTTTCCAGGGGTTCCGTTATATATTCAAAGATTGTTTATTATTATTGTTCCCTAGGGTTCCGAGTAGGCCATAGGGCTTCAAGAGCATGTCTCAATTTTATCCTGTCATATTCTCCTCTCTTGATCTTCCCCATGACACCGTCGGACATCTCACTCGTCTTTCCCCGTCCATATTCCCTTTGAGGGCTTGATGCGCGACGTCATTTGACTGTCTCCCCAACACACTCACGGATATACAACCTAGTTGATAAGAAGAAGAAGAAAAGAATGTATGAGTGGATATTTGAAAACTTTTTTATTTTGTTAATGAAATTTGGGAAAATTGAGGTCAGTGCACTTTACTGGTCTGTTTCTCTAATTTATTATTACGAAATGGGTGCTATGACAATTATTATTATTTTATCCTTTAATTCCTAGAGGAACATAGGGCTTCAGCTGCGCATCTCCATTGCCTTCTGCTTTCTGCCAACGTTTCCACCCCGCTCCAAGTCTGTCCACATGCTTTCATCTCCTCCCCACATGACCTCCTCCAAGTCACCCACCATGGGACGACCAACTCGCCGCCTCCCTTTCGGGTTCCACTCGAGCAATGGCTTGTCTAGTGATGTCACTTGATGGTTTCCTCAGCGTATGGCCAATCCATCTCCATTTCTTCCTGCCTATTTGTTTCACAATCGGTTCCTGCTGTGTTGGTTCGCTCATTGCCAGAGATCCCTGTTGCTGATCTTTTCTGGCCGGCCATCTGATCTTGAGTATTGAGCGAAGACAACTGTTGATGAAGGTCTGAGTTTATTTGAGGTGCTCGCTATGACAATTGGGCTAAACGAAATTTGATTTTCTTGGTTTTCATGTATCTTCTTCCTGCAGAAGAATTCTTGACTATTTAGACATTAGGAAGTATTCCACAATAAAGTAAATCTGACGTTTAGCTTTTATCAATGAAACAAATTAGCCCTTGACAATTCTAGGAGGGATATAATCTAGAGGAAGCATAACATCTTTAGATTATTTATTTTCCTTGTTCACCCTGTATATTTCCACCAGTGGGCCAAGAAAGAAAGAAATCTCAGACGGTTGATTTATTGAGGGGACATAAGGATTATGTTAACGTCGCTCTGAAACTGGAGTGGAAAACGATGTAGTTCTGTTTATGAAATCATCATCTCTCTTTTTTAATCAGTTTGTGGTATACTTTAAGAATTCGGCAACACGCCTACTGACTTGTTATGAGGGAAGAGTTTCGTTTATCTAAAGTGTGAAACTGACACAATCCTTCTAGTTAAAGACGGTGAAAAAACCGGGTCTTCTGACTGAATACCTTGACTAGGAATCTTAGTGCTTTACATGTAGTTTACTTTCTTTTAAATGTAGGATGGTGCTGGAGAAGTGATTGGTCTAAACTGACTCATAATATAAGGACAGGAGGTGAATGTGTTTAAATGTGTTGACCAGTCCCACTTATAGATTGATTGCTAACTAAATCTTATTTTGAATAGGAAAGGCTATCTGATGTTTTTCCGCTCTATCATCTCTGGTGAAGTTGTGATATCTGTCAATCCATCGAAGAAAGTTTGTACTGTGCAGTCGATCTCCCATGCTTCCTCCTTATAGCTATGATACATTGCGGTTGACAGCAGAGGACATGAAAAGACTAGTCACGCTTGGCCACATGTATTTGCTCTCTGTCTCTCATCTTACATGGTGTAATATGGCCAGTAACATACAAGTTAGCCATAGAGTGCTACGTAAGGAGAGGAAGTCAACCAATAAAATTGTGCAGCTATGAACATTTTTTTTCTACTTTTTCAGTTTGTAATTATTTTTTATTATAACTTAAACAATTCGCATATATACTCTAACTACTTAAACGTTGTCAGCAGCTGAAATTATAGACGTAAATTAATAAGTGCGTGTTACAGAGCATAGGTTTCAAAAATACCAATAATATTTTTATATTATATTCAATAGTACATAACAGTTACACACATTATCACTATATGATAAGTCAAGCAGCTTAATGAAATCTCAAAAGTTAACCTAATGCTCACCAGTGACTGACTGCTGCCTCGGGTTCTAGTGAGAAGTGCACACACACACACGAGTATGTCGAGTTAAACAGAAGGACAACAGAAAGATTTTAATAAAACTCACTTCTGAATCCCTCTAGCTGATAATTACCACAAGGTTATGAAAATAAAAATTGTATAAATCAAGCAGCCTGAGGAGTTGTTAAATGTACTTAGAGTTTTTGCAAAGCGTTAAAAATTGTCGGTGCACATTAAAAATGATAAATTTTCTGTATGACTTTATTTTAAGTAGTTTTTGAAACTCATCAATCAGACTGTTTGAATGATGATAGACATTATTAACAACTTTTATTTACACTCATGATTAAATTGGTTCTCATAGTAGAGGTACACTTTTATATTATACGTTATTATAAATGTAGCTCTTCTTTTTGAAGGAAACCTTTTTCATAGCAAATAATCAATTAAGTGAATATTTTGAAATACTACAGTCATGTAAGGTTTCTTCTCTACCGGTTGCATTAAGCCTAAATTCTAATCAAAATGTAGCTTAATTTTTAAAAAAAATTAGTGAGTAATGATGAATTTACGACTCATCTGTTTCCACCTACTTCACTTGAATTGACAATGATGAGGTGTTTTTGGCACATTTTGGACTAGATATTAATTACTTTTGATGTGATTCGAGAAATTTTTGACAGACAATTGGACATACCTACGGACTGATTAGAAATTTAGTGTGCCCAGGTATCCAGACAAGCAAAACAATAACAAAATACATGATATCAACATAAGAATTGAAGGATGGATAACGGGGATTTTGGAGGTTGTAAATTGGCATGTAAGACAGCGTCGAATAATATGAATATACACATACCACTAATTGACAGAAGTTAGAACTTCTGTGACATGGAGAACAATACACCGCTTAGAGCTGATTTGTTCGCCTTTCGATAAACAAACTGGAAAAATCGTACTTAGTACTTTTTCTAGGAATTCATGTACACCATTTAATGAAATCAGCACTTCAGCAGAGTTCAGGTACACAAAAAGGTGGAAATTATCAATAGCTTGTCATTTATACAATTTACAATCATAATTTAGCTAGAGTATACCAGGTTTAAGTTCACCGAATAATAACTTGAGATACATGTCTATTTAATGTTTCAGTGACGAAATCACATTGTAGTCTTAGCTACATCTATAAGGTCTTTCAATAAATTGATTCTTTTATGGAATGGTTCGTTTCCTAATACATTATTGTAAACCTCCGTGGACGTCTATTTCTAAAGAATCTCATGTGATATTCATAATCTTTGTTCATCATAATCATTTGACAAAAATTTCAAAATTGTAAAGCCTAGAAAAATATATGAATAAAGATCATGACTATGCATACTTAAGAGTGTTCTTTTTAATCCATCTTCCTAGCTATTCTCATTCTAATTCACTTTCAGGTCTGACCACATATTGATATCAGTTAGAGAACCATTGGAAACCACCAGGGAGTATTAGACGGTTATTTCGTCCAAGTTTGCTGCTCACAGGCAGTATATACGTTTCTAGCTCTACTGTGTGAGTCTTCCAGATTTTACTAGTTCAGGTCAGAGAATAATCGACTAGGAGATTATTAAGCATTCATTGTCGTCGCTTAGCATTCATACTCATACCCTTAGCACTACTTTAAGTTGAACCAACTCATTCAAGATCATTCAATGAGGTCACAAAGAGGTCATCTGTTCATATGGGAACAGCAATTCTGAAATCAATGTTAAGGATAACAAGTTTCGTATTCTTCGTTGGACTACTTCCTGTACGTCATCTCCTTTGAATGGCAAACTGATATAAACAGATTTCTTCGGAACTGTTTGGATTGTTTTGCAGGGGCTAATTTTATTGAAATAAAATCTCTGGAGGATATTTTATCTAAGAATGGATATCCTGAGAAGTTCAATAATAAATAGTCCAAAGAAATAAGACCTTGCAAAACAATCCAAACAGTTCAGGAGAAACCTGTCTATATCAGTTTGCCATTCAAATGAGATGATGTACAGGAAGTAGTCAGAAGAAGACTCGATAAAGCCATCAAGAGAACTTATTGTGCTGCGAAACTTGTAATTCTTAACGCCACTAAGTGAGTGCTTCAACAATCTGGGAAAAACTGGTCGCCAATCCTGGACACTTCAAACTGCGTATGTCATTTTGAGTGTGTTTGTGGAAGCAAATACATAGGTCGCACGGAAAGGCGATTGTCTACTTGCATGATGGAGCATTTGCCAAAATGGTTGAAAACAGCTGAGTGCAAAGTGCCAAAAGCCTCAATAACAAAACATCTTGTGGACTACAGACATGATATCAACACGGTCAAGTCGTTCACCATTGTCAGCAGACAAAGAAACAAGATGTTTGCAGTTGCAGAGGTTTGTGCAATTCGAGCTTATAAACAAGGTCTCTGTGTACAAAACTAGGTGGTCATCACTCTGAATCTACCATGGTAATACATTTTACTTATTATTCTACCTCTTATAATTATTTCTATTATTATTCTTGATTCATTTAAAACTATCCTTTATCAGTAGGATTATCTTAACTCACTATTATTATTGTTATTATAACTATTACTATTGATATTAGTCTGTTTGCAATTCTTGTTATATTCCCTAATGACTAATTGTTTATCTAAGTGATGTAATTGAAGCGCAGTGCAATTTATCTTAATTTTGATCTCTCATACTCTCTCTCTCGCCTTATCTATTTGAACATGACCTGGAAAACATTCTCACCTGTGTTTCTGCATGACTAATTCAATGTAGTTTGTTTACTTATCAGTCTTATATCTCCCAATGTAATTTCAAAAGTATAATATCCGTGTATGTAGAGTATTCAGCTGACAAGTTCTACCGAAATTTGATGAGTTCATTAAATCCTGCTTTATAAACCCTTATTGCTTGTTTTAAATTCGTATCGGGAAATAAATGTTTTCAATACTGATATATATCAGATTCATCAAGAAATAAAAAGGAAGTCTGATGGACGTAAGGTTGTAACGACAGAAGACAAGGACTAGACAACAGATCGTCTATTGAGGAAACCAAGAGGTATTTATATATTTTTATGTACATTATTATGGGTTATTGTTAACAGTGAAACAGCGTCTTCTGATTGTGTCCGTTTCTTTGAAGGTCAGACCATGTATCTGCGAATCGTATCCAT